TCATTGCCTGTATCTGTGGCTCCCAAGCTCTAGACAGGGTTGGACATACTAGCTATTTTCTTTTGCCCCTGCCCGGGCTCTAGGCACAGGTGGAACCCAGCTTCCAGGTCTCAGCCTGCCCAGAGGGCTGGCACATAGGAATGTGCCACTTGTCACCTGCCTGCTCTGTCCAAGGGGGGGGAGCATGCTGTCTGCCTGTGAGCCTGTCACCCACCATCAGGATGGCCCAGGATCCTGCAGACTGCCATTATTCCTAGTCCTGTCCCCACTTTGGCTCACATGGTCTACTGTAACCCCCAGGTCCTTCTCTGCAGTACTGCAGCCTAGTTCTATGATACTTCTACCTCTCTTCTTCCATTCTTTTACTAACTGTCATGGGACCACTCCTGTGGAACAGGGCTATAAATTATTTTGTCAAACTGTCTGGCTAACAGTTCTGAATAGAGCAGAATAGCCCAAGCACATTGAACCTTAAAGAAAGCGGGCAAAGACTGAGTGGACTTAATAACTTAGGCACAAAAATAAAGCAACTCTGAGACAATGTGTTTGTGTAAATGCAATCCCAAGCAGGGAATTTTAGACATGTGGAATTTGATCTTAGATTCCTCTAATCCCAAGGTGTCTACTCTACAGCCTATGGGCCACAACTGGTCTATGAAGCCACTCTAGCTGGCCTTCCAGGCTACTAGCAAGCCACCGGAAGCTGGGAGCATAGTGAAGGGGAGTGGTCTGCTGCAGAACCTGGGGCTTCAGGCCCTGGTGGACATAGCAATCAACAGCAGGAGCGTAGCAGCTGAAGCCCGCAAGGAACCTCACAGTTTGGATCTGATCTAGGACACAAAGTTAAGTTTGACACCCCTGTCCTAATGAATATAATATAGTGAAAAGATTTGTCCCAAGCATATTGGTAGGTTAAAGGTTCTCTGGAGATTTGTATTAGCCATAAGAAAATCATAATAAAGCTCAAAAAGGTCATATTTCATGAGTGCAAAATGACCCATCAGAACACATTTGCTAGTCCTTCTCAAATTCTTAAACTAGGAACCTTTGTATGTAGATGTAGAACAACATAAAGACGGGGTTAGATATCACTAGCCAGAAGAAGACCAAACTAACAGGAGCCACGCCTTACCTATACCAGAAGGAAGTTAGTGAAGAGCTAGTCAACATCTAGTCTTCAGGATTCTGTCTCTTGCACTATGTCCTGTTTGCTTTTCACATATTATAGTAATATTCTAAAGCCCTATACATAAAAGGTTTAACTTCACATAATAGACATGTCAAGACAGAATTGTTTGTTTTCTTGAATATAATGTCAAAAGTTGGCAAATTCTGTGGATATGAGCAAAAATCCTACGAACAGCAATTCTCCATAAATTGTAGTACTGTGCAGCAGCTAAGATTGGTTTTCCCAGTCTATAGATCAGTGGGAACCAACCTTTTCAGCAGGTGTGCCACAAATTAAGGCCTGCACCCTCCCCACTGCCACTCCAGTCCCCTTCCTCTTCCTGATCTGCTGCTCTGCTTTCTGCTGCTGCCCATCTGGCTTGTGCTTCCTGCCCCCAGAGGTAGATTAAGATTCATTAGGGCCCTAAGCCTGCCACTGTCCCCCCGCAGCCTACGCCCTGCCCCACAGCTGCAGGCTCTGTCCCCGGGTAACGCAGCAAGAGCACCAGCTGAAGCAGTACATGCTACCCCTCAGGCCCGGGGCAAGAGCCACAGCTGCCCCCGCCAGCAGGTCCACACTGCAGCCAAAGCCTGGGGACAGTTGCTCAGGACCCCACACAACATTGCCCTGTGGTTAGGCGGTGCTGGGGGTACAGAGCCACTGCTTGCCAGGTACGTACAGCACAGACCAAGCTCCAGGGATGGTCTCTCACCCCACTGTGACTCAGTCCAGTTGCAGTGGTGCCCAGCAAATGCACAGGATCGTGGCTGAGCTGGGCCGGGACCTGGCTGCACTCGGGCGACTCTGACACCAGCAGGTCCCAGCCATGCACTGAGCTCAGTTCCACTCCCTGCCACCAGTGGCTCCAGCCACTCCCAGGGCTCCAGTGTGATCTTTCCCCATGCCCCACCCAGTACCCAGCAGCCATTGCCAGCTGCATTGCATGCCTGGCCCAGCCCAGCTGCTGATTTCATCCATGCCAAGCTGCCCCACTCCTGTGCCCACCCTCCAGTTATCTGGGGGCCCGGGCTCAGATGGCCCATGCGTTAATATGCCTGTGCCTGCCCCATTCCCAATCTGCCCCAAACAGTGACTACCTGTGCCTCAAGCAGATGGAAAACCTGCTGGAATTTCTTCAAGATACTTTTCCCGAATTTCTCAAATATGTATTTAGGTTATCATTCAATATTTAGGTCCATTACCCTTACAAGTTATCTTAAAACACTGTCCACACAGTTCTTGAAAAACATGACATATAAGGGTTTCTCAATGAACTTCCCATCTAGACATTTGACTAAAAAAATTAACTAACTGCAACTAGCTACTACAATGTTATTAATCACTCTTCCTATGCCTTTTTACCTTTAACGATAAACCACATTTTTCAGTCTCAGGCATTATTGAATTGGATACACAAATTAGTTGGGCATTATGTTGAAACTAAAACCCATAAGTCTATTGAAAAAACCAAAACTTTTTCAAACGTAAATAAGATACAGTATAAGGACAGTTGTAGCCATGAAGAAAAGCAGGCAGAGCAAACCGTTTTAGTAATTCAAAGAACAGAACTAAAGGACATCATATTGGACCAATGCCTGAAATCTCTACTCAGGAATAAAAGAAACTGAACACAATGGAGTCTCATTTATTTACTCCTGCAGGGCATTTGGTCCTTTTTAGAGTGTACTTTCCAAAGCAAATCTTCAGTTGTGATGTACCTTTACACTATATATCCCATGATGTTCTCAATAGTAAGCTAAGGAAACAGCCTAGATGAAAGTACTTCACAGTGAATATATAATTTACTAACTCACTGTGCTCAAAGAGTAGTCATCAATGGCTGAATGTCTAATTGGGAGGTGGTACTGAGTAGAGTTCCCCAAGGATCTGTCCTGGGTCCTGTACTATTTAATATTGTCATCAGTGACAATCTGCTAAGCATGTACTCAAGTCCATCTTCCAGATGAGTACCTGGCAACCTTTAACAAGCTGCAAAACTGGCCTGTAGAGCTGGACAGCTTTGCCTGTGCTCATTCCCATGTCCATGCTGGGGTTGGAAAGCTTCCAGGTGTGTGCAAATCACTGCTGCTTCTTCCTTCCCAACCCTCAACTGTGGCAGGGGCTCAGTTTTCAGTCAGTGGGGAGCTCCCCAGGGCTGGGTATCTAGCAATCACACCTGTGCTGCAGCCACAAGGTGGTAGCGAGCTGCGGGGCAGGAATCAAAGGGAAGCAGGGAAAAGTGGCAGCAGTGCAGATGCAGTTTGCAGCTGCCTGGCCACAGTGCAGCTTCCCACTGGCTAAAAGCCATGCCCACATGGCAGCTACAGAACCAGGGGGGTTAGGGGATATGGTGGTGGTGCACGCACAGTTCCCAGCTGGATGGCACTGGCACAGATGTAAGGAATGCCATCTGTTGCTGATGTGTCACTGAAACCACCTGGCCTATGTCATACTTGAGATGAGTTGTTCTAGCCTACGGCTTTTGTTAAAGGTTGCCAGCTAGTGATCTGGAGGATGGAATTCAGTACATGCTTAACAAATTTGCACTTAAGACAAAATCAGATGGGGTTGCAAAAACTCTGGAGGGTAGGATTAGGAGTCAGAATTATCTTGATAGAGTGGAAAAATGGACCAAAATTAAATTAACTAAATTCAATAAAGAAAAGTTTGAAGTCCTGCACCTAGAATTGAACAGTCACATGCACAAACACAGACATGGTATGGCCAGGCTAGGCTGTGATACTGCAGAAAAGGATCTAGGGGTTATACTGGACCATGAACTGAATATGAACCAACAATGTGTTCTTGTTGCAAAAAAACGCCCAAAGCATACTAGGCTGTATTAACAGGAACATAGCTTGCAAGTCAAGTGAAGCAATTCTTTTGCTCTGTTGTGGACTGGTGAGGTTTCACCTAGAGCAGTCTCCTGGCTTTTTGGTATACAGTGTGGGAACAGGGCCTAATCAGGAATTTAGGGCCTCCAAAAGAAAAGGGTGGGATCTTGGTGCATGAAGAATGATTGCCAGAAAGGAATTTTGCTCCTTTATTTTAGGCCTTTCATGCCAGAACCTAACAGACAAGAGACTCAGGAATTGTACAGTTTATTATTTAAAGGCCTCGCCTAAACTATTGTGTCCAGTTTAGGGCACTACCCTTCAAGAAAGATGTGAAAAATTGGAAAGAGCCAAGTAGATAGCAATAAAAATGATTAGCTGTCTAGGAAACTTGATTTAAAAGGAAAGATTGGAAGAACAGAAATTATTTAGAGTCTGGAGAAGAGAAGAATGGGGAGTGGATTTGATAATAGTTTTCAAATACTTCAAGAATGTTTACAAAAACATTGATAAACTATTCTCTGTGACTTCAGGGATAGGACAAGGAGCAATGGT